AAAAGTATTATCTCCCCTGCTTCATTTCACTGGATTTTTTCCTCATAAATTCAAATATTCTTTTATTAAACTTGAACCAAACTTTTAAAAAGAAAGAAGTTGTTTTTGACTGCAAGTCATAATATTCTTGTAAGTTACAATTTTGCTTTAGAAAAAGAATATTATCAACCGTGAATTTATTTTGTACTAACATTTAAAAAAAACATTTTCATATATCTATATTAATTGTATAGCATTGTAATATCATACCAAACTACTTTGTCGACACCATCACATGTAAACAGGGTCTTGATGAGTTTTAAATGACCTGCCAGTAAACTGTTGTCTGTATCGGACAGATCTAGGTTTGTAGATGGTACAAAGTTTCCTAACCAATTGATCTCATCCTCCAACATAGTAGGCACATCTAATGATAACTTCTTTTGATCTTCAACTGCAACCAAAATCCCTCACTATTACACAAACATACTGACACATTTGAAATTTGTACGGCATGGAAAATCAACACCAAAATATCCACCCAGAAAGTTTAAAATGTTTTAAACTGTTGGTGTCATGAAAAAAAAAGTTTCAAGAGAGAGATCTATATTTCCATTCACAAGATATCCATTTTGACAGCAGATATGACCATAGTGTTAATTATTTTAAATGGCATTAATAAACAATATCTTTTTTTAGATTCATGCTGATAGGTGTGTATTCATTATTCTAGATCTGTAGATACATACCACTCAAGTTTTCCCAACAATTTACATCGCAGATCAAAATATTGTGAACACTGCATTAATAACCTGGAATGACATCAGAACACATAAACATTTCTATATTAATCATTTATCATTATAAATATACCAATAGATATATACCAATGGATACTATCAAAAGGACATTCCTGAACAGGTTTCAGTGTACATGTTTAGTTGTGAAGCTTGCCATTTTCTATGAGTTTTATTTCATGACTTTTTTGGAGGATGGAAACTCTAAAGAAATTTTCAGAAATATTCACTTTCCACAAGAGGCAAAATCCAATCATTCCTACAGGAGGCACAGGATTTTAAAGAATTTGCTCAATTTCCCCTATTGGGCAATGCCTTCAGACCTTGTGAGCTACAAGAGGCCCAATGGGCCTGCAGTACTCACCTGGTATTCAATGTTCATTAAAATAGAATCAGAGTTATATCACAAATATATTGACTAAAAACCATTGGCAATTTTAACCAATACCCACAACAAAGAGCTTCTAATACTTAAATCTTAACATTGATAGTTAAGATCTAGATTTTAAGTAAATGCCATTTCCTTTCTTCACAAAATCTTTTGGGCTTTGACCTAGAAACAACTATCATGCTTCCTGGACTTTCAGTTTACAAGAAGAAATCTTTTACAGTTTTCAAATAGTTTTTCCACTGTGAACTTCAATATAGGTCAAGGTCATTTCATTCCAACACCCATCAGACAAATACCATGACTTTTGGTCTGCTGGTAATTGAGAAGAAGTTGTTTAAATGGAAAAGTTGATGCCAGACAGAAAAAAGGACAATGTGCCATGGCATGAAAATAAAATCAATAAACAGAATAACAGTTACTTCCATTAATGCTGTCAGAAATATGTCTATTGCACATTTCCATTTTACAATAAATATCTTCAAAAAACATATGTACTAAGTAGATAATAGCTGAATGTCATACTGCTGAACAATTAAAGGCACTTTCGCTTAAGCACTTGAAAGGGTTGGACCGGTTGAGCCCGCAAGCAAAATGCAAGGTACAGTTGGGGACCGAGGCTGGACTGCGAAATATTTGGTACATGCAGATTGAGAGGTCCAGCCGTACCTGTCCAAAACTAATCTTAATTTTAGTTAATTGATTTATGCTTGACAGGAAATACCGAGACTGTACATTCTGAGCTTTACATATATCAGGTCCAACATCCAGTACAAGTGCGTTCACGTATTATGGAATAATTCCAGACCACCTGAACTGTTGCAACTGGGTTACGTGAATGCCACCTAAATAGAGATACAGTCACATGTCTTACCTTTGACTAGCACCCCTAGTACTAGCAGAAGATACCCAGAAGGGGAGATAAGCCTTCAGAAGCACTTTCAAAATGAACTGGTGTGGTGTTTGGTGTCCAACAGAGTTGACTGTGCTGCTCTCAGTTAGAGATAATTGAGTCTGACTGAGAAGATAAAACTGGTCGAGAGCTGCATTCCTAATGTCAGATTGAGAACAGCCTACTAAGATGTCTATAATGAAGTCACTCACACATGGCAGCGAGTAGAATGAGGCTGAAAATAAAACAAAAAAACATGTTCACAAAAAACATAGTAAAACAGGAAGCAATTGTTTGTGTTGAACATGCTGCGTACCAACTTTATTATCAAGTATACTGTAAATTCCTGCATTTTCATGGGGCTCGAATTTCATTGTTTCCAGAAATATATTTTTTTGTTGGCTCTTGATTTTGAGGATAAATCTTGCTCACAAAATCCACTAGCACTTTACTCCATGTCAACATTTCTTTGTTTATAATCTTGTGCACATAAATATTCATGGTTATCGAGTACTCACAAATTACATGAAAATAAATCCCCCCATAGAAATTAATGAATTTTACTTATGCAGTAATACTATAGTAAATCAGAACCATGACCATTTTTATCATACAAATTGCTAATATCTGGTGAAATGACTACCCCTATCTATTGCTGTACACCAGAATCACCAACACATCGTAGTTTACCTTGTAACCACACATACCCACACTTATTACAGGAACTCATTTCAGGATAAAAAATTATTTTCAGTGCAGTACATACTATTATGTATAACACTGTGATTTAAATAAAAGTTAGAATCAAGTGATATTTAATATACAGCCAATAGCTTTACAAATTAATGAAGTTTTGCATAGAGTAATTTAGAAACTAAAATATCATCAAAATACTTTGATCAATTATTGCTTCAGTCATCTCACTCACTGATGAATGAACATGGTGCTTACCTAGTAACTCGCTACGTAGTTGAAGACAAGCCACGAGAATTTCTAATGCTTCTTTAGCTATATTGCAGTCTTTAGAAGAGATGAATGTTTGCCTTATACACACACCAGCATGTAGTGTCTGGCAGTCACTGTCACTGTTAGTACTGGCTGTGCTGCCTGTTAAATCAAAATGGATGAAACATTTGTAGCACGTCACTATAAACTTTATTATTACATCACTATTTATTTTGAAAATCTGTTCAGGGTCTTGGTACCTTAAGGGCTATTCCTTCTTGACTCAAGAACTCTGCAGGGTGGGATATTTGTTTTACTTGGTCCTTATTACTTTTTACAGTACAGTATTACCTAATAGATCATTATTTTGGATATTTTGATAAATAATTCTATAACAAATCTCTATATAGTAGAATTCTCACCAGTGCTACTCTGTCGACTACGACAGCCACACCCATACATGTTGGAGCTTTCTATGATTGGCTGAGGAGAACTCAGGAGATGTAGCCGACCAGCAGCCGCAGCCCATGTCACCCTCATAAAACAAGAAACTGTTTCTGTAAAGACGTGCACACCCATTGTCTGTAAAAACAAAATATAAATCCTTTGTTTTTTCTATAATGCTGAACAAACCTGATGTCTTCTGCTGTAAATCATTAATCACATTTTTACCTAGAAAGCCCCAGGATGACGTACACCAATTGGAATAGAAAATTGAAAAAATTTGAGATGAAAATTTCACAAAAAATGGAAAACTTGAACTGAAATGAAAAGATGAAATACACTCACAAAACAAGATTTACATATATGTCTTGCCTGTTTGCTTTGCTTGTATACAACATTTTAAACAAACTAGCAAACTGAGTTAACGCTAAAACTTAAAAGTCTGGCTTTTCAACAATGTTTGTTTTCAGAATTGCTGGACGGTCATTTTTTTCTGAAATTTAATGAATGATAAATGTATTGAGGTGTCCATTACATAATTTAGCTACCTGGTATGTACCATTTTTTGACTAATACTTTTTAAGTAACAGGTCTAAATGCAAAACATTATGAAATGTTGATGCCGCAACACCATAGTCCATAGCTTCAACAGGTAAGACAAAAAAATTCAAATTCAAAATAGTCACTTGGTGACCTGAAATTTGATTAACAGATTCTGCTAATCATTCATCAATCCGACTGGTTTTATTTTTAGAAATGGAAGTCTAAGTATAGAAATAAACTGATATCCATGGTGTACACTATAACACTAGGATCTTACCTGTACTGCATGCCCAGCAGCAGTGACTGCTCTTTCCACATTAATAGTCAGTGGACTGGTCAGGGATGTAGGAGGTGTGGCCGACAGAGTGACCTTAGGTGTATCACCAGCCTCCGAGGGAAGGGCTACCACCCCTTCTGTACTAATGGCCTCACCAGTTACTGTTTGACCACACAGGAGAAATCGGGCCAGCTGTAGGCAGATAGAGTAACAGCCCTGGCGTGTGGTATAATTTAACTCTGGAGCAAGACTCTCAGGCTGGAGGACATTCACAACCATTTGTAAACCATCACAGTTGAGGAAGTCTTCACAGAATTGCTGAGCACTGAGCCGTGTCCCTATATCACTTGTTGTGGGCATCAGTTTGGAACTCAGTACCTAAATCAGAATGTAAAAGCAATGTCATGAAGATACGTATATAGACTGTACAGAATATGGTAATACTTTATGTAAATGGATAGAACACATCAACGAGAAAGTTGAAGTTGAGAGAGCAATTCTTATTTTATACACATCTAAAATGAGTTTCTTACTTCCAGGTTGTATAGCACCCTGAAGGCTGACATGTCCTGGGCTCCAGAGTCAAACAAAACCTTGAGCACTTCCTTTGGTGGTAGACGAGGACTTGACACAGGGGTGATTGTGGCTGTTGTCTTACGAGGACTGGCGCGTGGACTGATGTCATCACCAGACCCCATCTGTTTGGAGACCTGTAGAATAGGATTGTTAGGACAATAAGCATTACATTGTATTATTATAATACACACTTTTAGGCCACTGTCTGACATTTTTGACTTCTTTATCGCCCATTACATAACAAATTCTATTAAAACCAACATTTCTCCCTTTGATTATTACCAAATTACCAATATATTCTAATTCTTATTTTCGATTTTATCAAAATTATGAAACAAGCCAAACCTTCTTATTGTAATTTCAAGGTACCCTAGAGCAGGCATTATTTTTATTCCTTGCAATTTTAATCTTTCTTGAAACACTCAAAATATTTGTACAGAATACCTATAAAAATTGTTGTATTGAGATACAGGCTGAAGGACTCTGACATGTAGTAATGATACTAACCTTGTTACTGATGGAGTCAAGGGACTCCGATATTGCTGGATCGGTTGGGATCAGCATCAGCAGCTTACGCACACGGGACGTGATTCTAATGGTCAGACAAAATCATCAATAAGGTAAGAAATATTTACTTAGATAGTCTTTCATACTTATTCAGAATCATGTTTTAAATTTTGATTTATGATAATATCCTTCACCTGTATGTTAAACACCTACTTTACATACATGACAAGCCTACATAGGAAAGAAACCTAGTGTTCTAAAATGGTCGATTAAAAGACTTCAGGACTTTACACAGCTGACTGTTCAATAAGTAAAAAGTTCACAAGAAGAAAGTCTTTCACAATACCGTGGTTCGTCTAAGTCTGCAAGCTGGTAGAGCATTTCAAACACCTGTCCGCCCATAGCCATTACAACTCCTGGTAACATCTTCTCCTGCAGGAAAAATCAGATTTGCTACATAACACAAATATTTTGTAAATACAGAAGTCATTAAAATTTTTACACAACACTGGAATACATCAATTTCTTTAGAATTTTTAATATAAAACAGATCATAACAGTGACTCGTTGTCTACTTTATATCTCAGGCCCTTACAGGAGTTCATTTCCAGCTTTATTTAGAAAAATGATATTAAATTCAATCCCTATCCCAAGCCACAACTATATTGTAATGTTCAGTAAATGTCTTACCTGTTCTAGATCAAAAGACTGCTTTGAAGTTGGTGTTGCTGGGGGCTGAAAAAGAATGACAAAAAGATTAAAATACACAATCTACAATATACCATTTACAGTATAAAGCAGTTAATTTTTTTCAAGAATCCTCATGATGTACCAATTTATCTTATGATAAAACTATGGATATTTGTACCTATGCATGGTGAAGGTGATGACATTTTCATCTGGGCACTGGATGTACAGAAAACAACAAAATAATTATAACAGGCATGGGGTAATTGCAATTGTGTAATCGTTATTGATTGTAATAAACAAATATACAAATTCTGATGTAATTTGCAGTTGTTAGTAACTGAAGACTTTTTCAGTTACTTGTAATTAATTGATTACAGTGAAAATTTACCATGTAATTGTAATTACATTTCAATTACAAGGTATTTTTTCCTGGTGGTAATTGTGTAATCGTTATTGATTGTAATAAACTACAAATTCTTATGTAATTTACAGTAGTCAGACAATATTTTTCCTACGTGGAAATAGTTTGATGTGATAATAGGTACTTAATTTACTCTCTGATGGTATATTTAGTAAATGAAGAGATGAACAATAACAAAATCTAACAACTTTTTCATCAACATAAATATTAACATAGATATATAGATCATATATCTGTGATACTTCCTCATCTTTTTTTCAGATATCATCCTGTATCGTATAAGTTAATACTATGTTTACATAGAAGTGGAAATCCTTTGCAGATCCGATTCTGTATCAGTGCAGATAACATGGCTGCTAGTGTAGAGTGGATTCTTTTTCGTCAGGAAACAGTAGTTCCCAACACTTTCAGTATATATCTCATTAGTCAAAACTTTATAATTTCTGTGTAGGTTGGAACATTACTGATCTAGACACTGAGATTTAAATCTGGACGTTTTTTATCTGAATCCTGTAATTTTAATGACAGTATAAGAATACAGAATAAGTTTACAGAATAAATACTTTAAACCTGACCAAGTAAATAATGTGTGCAGTGGAACTTGATGTACAAGTAGTGGTTAGTTAAGGCAATACAATTCCTGTACAGGTGAAGCTTATTAGCCCAGACACCATTACATAATACAATTCCTGTACAGGTGAAGCTTATTAGCCCAGACACCATTACATAATTAGGAATGTTATTATTCATTGTAAGGAGTCATACACAGGGTATTTACATTGTGTAAGTTAACATTTCATTGTAATAGGTTGTAAACATTTTCAACTGAATTGTGTTCACATATTTTTATTGTACAACTTCTTAACCAGCTATTTACCTAAAATTGAATTGATTTGCTAGCCTCAACATGTACTGATGGTTCATAGTAAACCATGAATATTTATTCAAAGAAAGCATCATGCAATACAGTGCTGATGAAATAAAATTCACACAGGGTTTCACAAAGAAGATTTCAGACCTCTATTACTGCTGTAAGTTAAAACTTCATAAATAAACTACATAGAGAATTCATCCCTAAATTTATTAAAGTTTTTCAATAAAGATTTCAGCAGAAATAGCTTGCATGCAATTTTCCATTGTGTTATGAGACCAATCTAAAATTTCCTGAAAGTAAATTGCTAAAATTCTTGAACAAATCCATCCGTTTCTAGGGGAATAAAACTGTTTCCATGCTAATGCTGATATCTAATGTTGGCAGAGCTAATATAGGTAACATATAGGTGTATGACAATTTTTTATTCCGATAGCCGGACTAAAATACAATGGTTCTTATTGAGGTAAGGCAAAATGTATCTTCACAGGTGAAAAATTTTAATGTTCCAAACAAACATGCGACACAATAAACTTGCATATTCAAACATAATAATTTTCGTAAGCTAAGTAATAACAAAACACATAACCAAAATATTCACTATATAGATCACCGTTCTGAAGATATACATGATTATTTGACACAGAAAGAACTTTCACAGCCTTAGAAACCAATCCCAATCGTAAAATATCTTACAAATGAAATGGTGAGCTATGTCATACCACAGTGTCCATCGTCTATCTGTCCATCTGTCTGTCATTGAACAAACTTTGTAGGGCTCCATGCCAGCATGCTATTCTCTACAAATCATTACTCTGTCATGAACATTACTACTAAGTCCCATCGGCAGTATAAAAAATTGATTGAAAAATAAAATAACCAGAGTCCCAATGGGCCATAATTACTCACCTGGCTACTTCAGCTTTTTATTCATTGAACTGAACATTTGTTATCAACCGTCTGTACAGCAATAAAAATGGTTAAAGCAGCATCTGTAGAATTACCTGGATGTATCATTCAGGTTAAAATAAAAATCCTGTAGCACTTATAGTATTCCTGATAGAGACAAGAATGCTTCAGATCAAATTTTAGCAAATCCATTCAATCCTACACATGGAGAAGGATTTTAAAGAATTTGTTCTACTTTCTGTACTTGACCCTGCCCAAGGGGGCCAGGACCCACCATTTATAATTAATTCCCCTTCCCCCAAAGAATGCTTCAGACCAAATTTGGGTGAAATCCAATCATTCCCACAGAAGGAGTAGGATTTTAAAGAACTTGGAACATTTCCCCTATTGAGCCCTACACGGAGAACCATCATTTAACCAAACTTTGTTCCCCTTCCCTCAAGGATCTTCTGACCTTATTTGGTCAAAATCCACTTAGATGTTCATGACTAGTAGTAATACTAGAAAAACAGACAGACGATGGACACTGCGTCATGATATAAGCTTACCAGTTTTTTGGAGCTTCTGTGTGAGCTAAATAATACTAAAAAAAGATTGTGATTATGTAACTTTCTTACACCTTATAAACACGATCATTACTCAATACACCTTCTATGTTATTAACTTTTTGCTACCCTTAAATGTTTCAATATAAAAAAGAAATAGATTAATAAATAAATAATGAAAAACAAGAATTTTACAGACATAAAAAATAAGCCTTAATTTTATAAGCCAAAACATTTTTAAAATGTTTTCTATCTTAATTTTTAGAAAAAGTATATCATAAATAACAGAATACCTATAAAGAATAGTCTTTTTGTTGTCAACATTTGTATTGTCACTTTGACATTCATCATTTAGGCTGTGCTGTCTGATGACCTTACAAGTCTAAACAGGCCAGCCACCATACTTCTGATGAAAATGATGTGTAATTTTTGACAGGTCATCCATCAATTTCTTAATGGTTATGATATAGAAGCTTCTACTTCATCATCTTGGCACAATTGAAAGTTCCATGTGTGAGTCTTGGTGCACAAGACAAAAAGACTAGTTTGATCCTTTGATGTACATCAAACGAATCTCAAGGCTGAATAACAGTATATTGTTATGGCTTTGAAGCTGGGTGTCACTCCTTTGAAATCTTCAAAAGGAGTGTATCAGCCTGTGATTGGTCAGAGTTTTTTCCTGGAACCAATCAAATTACCTTGCTCGTGCCTTCAATTTTGCTGTGCCATCTTCCAGGGGTGCAGTGAGCCAAAGTGGCCGTAACCCCTGGAGTATTGTGGATGTTATTCCACAGGTAAGCTGAAACCAGCATCCTGCTTTAACTAAAGTAGAATATACTTCATTTTGAAGTCTGGCTTCAGGAGTAAATACTCCTCTTTTTTTATCCTCATCAGAAACCCACAGGATTCTGCTCTGACATTTCACATCAGTGACAAAGCAGAGTCTTGCGAGTCTCCCCACAATTGCTTTTTATATAATCAGTAGTTTTTATTAGTTTGTATTTCAGAGCAGTGACCAGTAGGTTACACTAAAGGGAAGGTAGAAAATAAATCAGAAAGAATCGTGCTAATGAGAGATGTTGAAATAAAGATGAAGCAGAAACAAGGCTATATATAAAGTACACACAGATACGATAGGCAATTACCTCATCTATTCTTAGGCTTTCCTGAATCTGGGTAACGGAAAGAAACGTAAATAAACAAAATAAATCTGAGATACACAACTACAGTTTAGGCATTCTGACGGAGAAAAAATCTTATTCTGTGACATTCCAGGTAGATATGTGAAAAAATAGCCAAATCCATGCAAATTCTGGACATATGTCATACAAGAAGCACATAGTGAATACATGCATAACCCTCAGTCACACCACATCAACACTTTGTGAGTATTAACAGGAACAGCAAAGAAACTAACATGATTTCGTCCAATCTTCAGTCATCATTATCATAAATGACCATCACCAATGAAGGATCTAGATAGGTTCCCCCGAGAAATCTAACATCATCATTTAATCACCTAGTGAACATGTCTTTGACATCTTATAAAAAACTAAATTTCCCCAAACCCTGGGGTCATCATTAAGGGGAGACTTGATATGAAGATAAAATGAAAATAAAACTAAGGTTACAATTTGTCTCAGAATCAGTAAAACATAATATTACATATAGATATCAGTCCATGACAACAAAAAAACCCGGATATTTTCTGATACCTTCCTCATCAGAAAATATCTTTTTGATAAAAACAGAGTAAGGCTATTGTGAAATTATTTTTTCAATTAATGTTGTATCTAGATTTTTGGAAACTACATTACAATTTAACTTGCAATTTAAACTGAGTGTTAGTAACCATGGTTTTAAACTGAGTGTTAGAAACCATGGAAACCAAAGTACTGTGCTGTATTGTAATATATGATAAGGTCATGTCTGGTAGTATGGAGTGATGTCTACTGCAATACATGTACAAGCAAATGCTCCCCTTATTGTTAAACCATTGACCGATAATCTAACATCTTTTTTTGGAGGTCAAAGTTCATGAGTTGGCTCCCTGTTAAATCATTAAGGAATCCTCGACATAATATTATGAACACCATAACATGCAAAACCAATGAAAATTCAACATTTTTTGTGAAACAAAACAAAACATTGTACATAAACATGAGGCTACCCTTCATTAAGTAATGATGATTCTGTTTAGGTTCACTTACCTCCTTGACTTGTGATGATTGGAGAGCTGAGGATGTTGCTAGCCTTACTTGAATCACCTGATTGTCTTCAATTTCTAGCTGGTTCAGTAATTTCTGGTCGTCGTTAATCCCAAGCTTAAAGAAAGTGTGTCTAACATTATTATCAAAACCTGTTTTATGATAATTCCTAAATCAATCTAAATACTTGTATGATTAAAAGCTGAATTTCACATGTAATCACTTGAAGCAAGACTTGCTCTGGATGAGCTATTGATGAAACACCAAATTATAACTAGAGGAACTTTTTTTGGTGTGATGATTTGTGACTAATTCCAATTCAGACTCATTTCCTATACAAGCATTTTATGAATATTAAAAATTAAATTTACTAATACAATCTTTTCATTTTCTTGAACAGTGCGAAGCAGGAAAGCAAAAGGAAAACCAAATATTGATTCCTTACCATTTTGTCCTGAGCAACCACTTGTATGTTTTCTGGGGTCTGGCGTAATTTGCTGGATATTTTTGACCGGATTGATCCAAGAGTTTCATTACTATGACACTGTAGAAAGTAAACAAAATACAAATCATACACTTTCAAGATTTGGTTCATACAATGGTCCAAATTTGTGTCTGACAAAGGTTTCGGGATGAATGTAATGGTCCAAATTTGTGTCTGACAAAGGTTTCGGAATGAATGTAATGGTCCAAATCTGTGTCTGACAAAGGTTTCAGGACGAATATAATGGTCCAAATTTGTGCCTAACAAAGATTTCAAGAGGCATATGACAGTCCAAATCTGTGTCTAACAAAGATTTAAACAGGCATATGATAATCCTGATCTATGTCTCACAAAGGTTTCAAAAGGCAGGTGATCGTTCAAATTTGTGGCAAAGTTTTCAATAGGATAGAAATAATTCAGCTTGTATACCGAGACAATTATACATATTCATTATCAGTAATGGAAGTAAAGCTGATATTTCACAAAGGTTTGTAATGTTTGCCATCTCAGATGGTTGCTATGTTCTTCAATCAGGTTTGAGGTTGTCAATTCCTCTGTTTTTTCATAACAACTTTGATACTGAATAAAATAATTCAGGTTCCCGTGTTGCCTATCAGTTGTAAATCTTAACAAAATTTCAAATGCTGCAATACGATTGAACTATTTTTCCTGTTTGCTATTGTATACCTTTGAAATTCAATCATAGCTCTTCCAGTAAATCATTTAACTAAGAGAAGAGCTGGACAGGAATCACCAAGAGTAATTAACATAAACAGTAGGGTTTAACAAACCTAAATTTCCTTTGATAGACATAAGGTCTGAAGAGACAAAATGTAGTATCATAAAACTATTAAGAATGAATGAAGATTTAAAAAGAATTTAGTGTTCATGTGTGTGATAGCATTGATTACAGGTGGTGTGTATATATTTCAAGCCAGGTCTGATAACTCACCACAAGTAAGAATTCTTGTTTGGGTGATTCTGACATTACAGTGAGGTTCATCTGATGTCCATGGAAGGATGCACCGTGGGGGAGGATGGTGCGAGTCGTGTGATGTGTCTCCTCTACATTTAACACATACTCCTCAGCGATCCACATCAACCGCTCAATGTTCATCAGCTTGATGTTCCTAAAATAAAGCAAACAAAGTATTGGCTACTATTTATTTAGCAAGACCATCAATATTCATTTTACTGAAAGACATGTACGACAGATTTTACAACAGCAAATTTGTTTAGTTATCCTATCTACAGTATGTAACAGGAAAATACATTCAGTTATAGTTTTGTTTAAAAAGGAATTTTATTCTGGTTCATGTAGCATTATGTTTTTCATCAGTTCGTAATGAACAATTTTAATGATAATAATAAGAACGTTGTTCCTTTTCATCGTCAGACGATAATCACAATAAATTTGACCACTAGTCGATGGTGTAGGATTTATATCGCACCAGCTACCAGGTAAGAAGATATTAAACATCATCCACCTGAGTTTTATGCTTTTACTGCTCCACTCTGATAAGTTAAACATTTCTACAGATTACACCTTCTAAAACAAATTTATTAATGTGGCATTTGATCAAATGGAAAATCTGCAAAAATTAGTTGGGAAATAAGGTGTAAAAACTGAAAAAAAAACCCTAAAAAATGTCTACAAGATTTGAAGGAAAGGTTCTCAAGATTATGATATTGATCCGAACCATGGATCAATCTATATGACACTCTCCTTCTCCCCATAGCAGAAATTCAAAAAACTCTTACCGAGAGGGTAAAGGCACATTAGCTACTTCTGGTACAATAGCAGCTGTGAGAGTTTTGGTTGCCCAGGAGATGGACTGAGCTATCACAGTGCCCCCTATACCAATCATGGCCGCCTATAAAGAAACATGACATAAATGTCAGAAAATCCAACACCAAACGCCTAACAATGTATGAGATCTGGGTAAACTGTATCAGCACCTTTCTAGGTGAAACATTTCAAAAACTCCCACATATCAAGTGATACAAAGATATTTCTTTACCTTACATATCTGGAATAAATCCAAATGATTCCTCTCATTTTAAATATACTTTATTTCCTGGTATCATCTTGTAGTCGTGTAGATATCATCTGTATTTCATTTTAACAGATACAGTATAAATAAATGGTTTCCTCAATAAATCAATTTACAACTGATGTTGAGCATAAATTTACATGAAAAATCAAAGATAATTTAAAGCAATAATGAAATTTCTTCCCTCAGATTGTAAACAGATAAACAAAACATTGATTTTTTTTACCTATCCTCTCATAATTCAACCCTAGAAACATACCTCCAGTCTACTCTTGCTGTCAGCTTTGAATTTCTTGTGTAGTATCACAGGGTCCTAGAAAAATTCAAAAGGGCAGTCCAAGCACCAAAACATAACACTTCTATTGCAATCATTTCAGTAAGTAATATAGTTAGAATGTAATGCTCCTCAAACTGGGAGTAGATATAGCACTATGAATTTACTGTAAACTAATTCATATAAGAAAATATGTGCATCCTCACTGAAAACTTTTCATTTTCATAAAGAGAGAAATTTGCCTTAAATGCCTACAAACAAAGATATAAACTTCGACCTGAAACTTCTGCACATCTTTCATTTTTGCTTCTTGACAAAAGGGCAGAAGTTCAACTACAGTTAAAGATTTCCTGCGTACAGTAAGCTAGACTTTCTGACCTACTACAACAAGCTGCCCATGTACTTGTCCTTGACCTACCTTTTTAAGTCTTGGTGCCAAGTTAGTGTAGAGAACTGACAAAAGCAGAGAAATGGCCTGACTTGCTATCGACTCATCAGGTGTATTTAAGCAGATCTCCCAAATATAGTCCAGTCCAAACAATTCACTCTTCTCTACAACCTGTCAAAGATAATAACATAAATATATTCAGCTCCAAACAATTAAATATTCTCTACAACCTGTCAAAGTTAATATTGTAATTTTAATAAAGTCCAAACAATGCACTCTTAATCCAAGTTCAGTGGAGTGGTGACACTGTTTTCTATACATCTACCACTTACTAAATCTTACCTACCAGTTATCATCTACCACTTACTAAATCTTACCTACCAGTTATCATCTACCACTTACTAAATCTTACCTACCAGTTATCATCTACCACTTACTAAATCTTACCTACCAGTTATCATCTACCACTTACTAAATCTTACCTACCAGTTATCATCTACCACTTACTAAATCTTACCTACCAGTTATCATCTACCACTTACTAAATCTTACCTACCAGTTATCATCTACCACTTACTAAATCTTACCTACCAGTTATCATCTACCACTTACTAAATCTTACCTACCAGTTATCATCTACCACTTACTAAATCTTACCTACCAGTTATCATCTACCACTTACTAAATCTTACCTACCAGTTATCATCTACCACTTACTAAATCTTATCTACCAGTTATCATCTACCATTTACTCATTTTCTACCATCTATCAATCTATACCTACCTTTCATCTTATCACACCATACCTACCATTTTTCATCTACCACTAACCAAACCATATCTACCAATTATCATTTACCACTTACCAAACCATACATACCAATTATCATTTACCACTTACCAAACCATACCACTTACCAAACCATACATACCAATTATCATTTACCACTTACCAAACCATACATACCAATTATCATTTACCACTTACCAAACCATACATACCAATTATCATTTACCACTTACCAAACCATACATACCAATTATCATTTACCACTTACCAAACCATACCTACCAATTATCATTTACCACTTACCAAACCATATCTACCAATTATCATTTACCACTTACCAAACCATACCTACCAATTATACCAATTATCATTTACCACTTACCAAACCATACCTACCAATTATCATTTACCACTTACCAAACCATACCATACCTACCAATTATCATTTACCACTTACCAAACCATATCTACCAATTATCATTTACCACTTACCAAACCATACCTACCAATTATCATTTACCACTTACCAAACCATATCTACCAATTATCATTTACCACTTACCAAACCATACCTACCAATTATCATTTACCACTTACCAAACCATACCTACCAATTATCATTTACCACTTACCAAACCATACCTACCAATTATCATTTACCACTTACCAAACCATACATACCAATTATCATTTACCACTTACCAAACCATACCTACCAATTATCATTTACCACTTACCAAACCATACCTACCAATTATCATTTACCACTTACCAAACCATATCTACCAATTATCATTTACCACTTACCAAACCATATCTACCAATTATCATTTACCACTTACCAAACCATACATACCAATTATCATTTACCACTTACCAAACCATATCTACCAATTATCATTTACCACTTACCAAACCATACCTACCAATTATCATTTACCACTTACCAAACCATACCTACCAATTATCATTTACCACTTACCAAACCATACATACCAATTATCATTTACCACTTACCAAACCATACATACCAATTATCATTTACCACTTACCAAACCATACATACCAATTATCATTTACCACTTACCAAACCATACATACCAATTATCATCTACCACTTACCAATTTGTTCCCATCAGATTTAAGGCGATGTTCAAATTTGTTGACGTTTTCAAAGAAGCTTTTAAAACAGGTAAAACCTAAAATCAAATGAATGTTTAAGGTAACTTTTTATGTCTATAAATAGCAAGTCATGTACTCTTTAAACTCTTTAAATATCTGGTTGTCATGACTACAGAAAATTTGAAAATAAGAAAATTTACATTGTTCTACTTAAGCCCAATTCAATTGGATTTTTGTTTCCATGGTGGCATCCAAACAAACATAAAACAAAGAAATTAAGAAATTAAAGCAATGCCTATCACTGATCCTTCTACCATCATTATTTTTTACCTACTACACTTAGATGGGTCAAGTGCAAACTTACCTTTTTCACTGAGCTTAGCAGGGTCTAGCTTCAGAAGTTCCTTCTGAAACAACTGGCTTTGTGTTTCCATCTCCAGATCTGTAAGCCCATGACTGAACCAGTCATAACAGGTCTGCAAAAAACAACTTCTTATTATCATTTGCTTAAAATTGGTTATAATTTGGTAAAAATCAACATTTCTTTGAGATGTTTCAAAGTATTGTGATTGGCCGAAAAAACTCCTTATATCCTAGGGAGAAGATTAACCAGACAAACAATTCATCTTCACCTCTATTCATGTTAACAAAATTCAGCCTTTTCCTACCAACGAAACTGCACTTCAATAATTTGTTCCAAAGCAAGTATATTTTGGTACCTTTAAAAAAGATTCTTAAATTCTCCATAACACTATCTTCTACAAAGGTTTTTTTCTTTTTTTGTTTTAATCAATTTAACATAAAACAAAAACACTTCATTTTAATAACTCACCTCTCTGTCCCAGTCACATGCCTCTGAACTGCCGATCAATGTGCCCCAGATATCTCGTGCCCGGCTCCATGGGAGATAGAGGGCACCTTCTTGCAACATGTACTGGAGGAAACTCAAGTGATTTGTTACGTACTGTACAAAATAAATGATTCCATTATTACAGAACATGAAATTATAAGTAATCTTTACTTAAAAGGCATGTATTTCAATCTTCTCAGACCCACGTTAGATTTGATCACAAATTCAGATGTCATACATGTTGAATACAATAGGTGCCAACATTGTTTTTGAGTGCTTTAAACTAATGTAATTACTTTATCCTAGCATGCCACTGGTCAAATGTCATTTTTCTAAACCTCTTGCTTGTTCAAAATATGTGCTGATATTAAAACAAATCTGGAACCTTCTCAATGCAACATTCCTAAATAATTTTCTATGATTTTTGTCATCCATAATTTCTGTAATTTTTACTAGGCAGCAGATATAAGTATATGTAGCCATTACATACAATGAAAAAAATAAAAGAGTTGCAATGCACATCATTTTACTGGTTTAGGTGGACTTCTCTGGACGACAAATGCAGATGACGGACAGACAGAAAAACAGACAGACAGACTAGGTCATTCTAGTATACCCCCAAATTCATTTTGGAGAGTATAAAAACACTTGACAAACATCAATATCATCAGTTAGGAGCAACTATTGAATTTGGTGACAGTATATCATCAAATCTTTGGAAGAAACAATGTAAAATTGATGATTGGTTGATGAAAATAAAAAACAAAACAAAAAAAGGCTAACCTCAGAATGCATGTAACGCCCATCAACAATGGTGTGTTGACTAAGTTGACCATCCCCTGTGGATGCCACAGCCAGCTTGTGACATTTGACTAGACTGTTGGTAACCAGCTTGATGACATCATGGTTCATTGTTGCCACAGCCAGCTTGTGACATTTGACTAGACTGTTGGTAACCAGCTTGATGACATCATGGTTCTTGTTGAGTTCGTGGAGAATACCCTATCAACAAGAGGCGAACATGTTTAATGGTATTAAAAAGCAAAACACTAATAACAATACAAACATACCCAAAGGTTGCACAAAAGACACAAGTGAACAGACCTTTTTAAGGCAAGTATTGAGTTTACAAGTAGAGTCAAACAATGAGGTAAACTGCTTCATACAACTGTTTTTGTCCTCCCAGGACTCATCATGGATGCTAAGGGCCTAAATTTTGAACCTCTGAGGTGACCAAAGAAAATCATTGTGATCTAAAGAAATGTCAAAGTCTAGATGGGGAAGTGCAATAGCCAAGAGTAACACTATATACTCCTGGCCATGACATGGCAGGGGCAACACACACGGGAGAAAACAAATATAGAGATTTGCTGCCCCAATGTAAATTGCTGGTCCTCTGCTTTTTCTGTTATATCTACTTAATCTTTCAGTGTCTAATACCATTTTTGTTGGGTAAAAAAGCTAGATCTGCTTATAACCCCACCCATGGCTATTACTGATGTGTAGAACTATCGACAAATGCTGTTTTATTGTCCTGTAATGAACCTATCCCACAACTTTGAGAAAGAGGCTACAGTAAATGTGGAAACTTATGAGTGACGGAATTTTAAACTAAATATGCAGAAGTCATTCAGCCATAAAAATTTCACCCACGCATATGAATTTGTGATGTATTACATACTTCGCAAAATATACATTAAGTACCCAAAAGCACAATGATCACAAAAATTATCCATCCTCATTAAGTTTGCTTATTGAAATTGCGAAATAAACCCCCATAAAACTGACCACATTCACAGTATGTGTGGGCATAACTTTGAGAACGAAGATATGTGCTGGTCCTTAGACTTATTGTAGGAAGAATGCAGTATTACACTAAAATCGATCATAAAACAACAACAAATCAGAATTTTGCAATTTGTCGTTATGATGAGATTTTGCAGAGTATGTCACTTGGTACTGATGATTAGCTGTCGTAAAAATCACGTGGAGTGTCATGCAAATACCAAGTACCCTAATAAAACATTAAGTTCTCGCAGATATGTGCAGACACAAACCACCATATCCAGGACAGTTGTTATGACAACTTACCTTATCTGACTTCTGAATGCACTGCTTTAAGATGTTTTTACAAATGTGTAACAACTGTTTCAAGGCTGGTAATACACAAGCACCCTAAAGAAATAAAAAAAGAAAAACAAATTTCAGAAGAATCTAAACAAATATTCTTCCTCGATAGGTGGACATGGGATGTCACTTTCAATCAAATGAAAATGCATTTGGATCACAGAAATTCAATGTCACATAGTCAAACTTTCTTTCAAGTACATTTTGTGTTGCTGTTATGAAAACAACAAATCAAAGCTAAAACTCGGGATTATAAGTTTGCACACAAGTCCTCATTCCCATTTGATGGAATTGAAACTAACCTTTTTAATGTCCTCCACACATTTGACAACATATTTTCTCTTTTCCTGCTCCTTCACACTGAAGGAGTCACTGAGGATGGCCAGGTGTTCCTCTAGGGCCTGCTCTATCAGGTGTGTTGACAGGGCTGGCAGATGGGATAAGTCCCATAGTAACTCCAGAACCTATACATTCAAAGGTCAATTAGGATTGTATCACAAGATCGTGTTATCAGATATATGGCAGGTGTGGAAATATTGTCTGTGTGATCAGATATAACTTGGCAGAAGTGTAAATATTTCTTGAAAGACTAAAGTTTTAAGAATAGTAAGATATTACTTTAATATACTGGCTGTATAATCCAGACTTAGTGAACACAAAAAATTCCCACATACAAACTTTCAGAAAATGGCATTTTTTTTATACAAAAATTTTTCATTAGTTTGATTTGTTTTAAATTGATTAAACAAATAAGGTTTCCCAAAAACAGTGTTTCCTTACCCTTGTTGTACTATTAACCTCTCTTGCATCTCGTCCAATCTTTCCAATTAAGCTTAGCAGCTTTTCCCGCATCTTATCGTTATCTTCTTGCCATTTCTACAATCAGAAAAATTGCAAGATCACATTTCATCAAATCAATAATCAGTCAATAATATTATCTACATATATACAGCATGAAAAATAAGATGTTTACAAATTGTAAAACTGAAATATCTTCCCCAGGAAAAAAGACACGTATAAACTTCACGTGTGGGTATATTAAAGCAGATTAAGATATGACAGTATATGATATATGGATATGACTGTACATTATCAAACCCTCAATAGAAAAGTGTTTCAGAAAGACTTACCATGTGTATAAGAAGAAACAAGTGGTCAAGCAGTGTGTGATCAAACTTGACCGCTGCTGCTGCGATGATGGAATGGATGTTGTCTGTAACATTATTTGTTTGTCGTAACTGAAATAAAAAACAATTCTAGCCTTTACACATCATTCTAGAAATCAAGCTTTCCACATTCAGATTTGTTTGAGGAGTAATGGTTTTTACTTATTTAGTAATAATTTATCCAAATACAAATTAACTATAAAGATAAATACTTCACACACCTGCATTTTCCAGATCATGGTCAGCTCATCAGTGGATAACTCTGCCCCAATGTAGTCGACGACTCCCTTTATTTTATCACAGTACTGGGTTTGGTCGATGTTACCTATTAACAATATGTGTATAACAATAATTAACTCCCATTATCAGAACTGACAGTTGGTTTTGTCAAGTAATGTTCTGAAGTTGAAGTTGTGTTATATCCACATACCTTATAAAACTATTGATAACACTTTGTGTTCTATCCACATACCTTATAAAACTATTGATAACACTTTGTGTTCTATCCACATACCTTATAAAGCTATTGATAACACTTTGTGTTCTATCCACATACCTTATAAAACTATTGATAACACTTTGTGTTCTATCCACATATTCTCTACAGCTACTGATAACACTTTGTGTTCTATCCACGTACCTTCTAAAGCTATTGACAAAACTTTGTGTTCCACAAGCCAATCTGAGATCTTTCGAGGAGGAATAGCTGTCTTAGGCACTTTACTGGAGGCAGCTTCCTCTATCAGTTTTGAGACCTGAAAATAAATATAAGAATTGGAATAAAAAAAAGTGAAAGTAAATGTATCAAAATCAAAACAAATCAAAACTTCAAAACATATGTTTTTCACATACACACACGCAATGAAAATAATGTAGCAAGATCCTCTATGAAAATTTAACATTCCTTTGTAAAATCTGAATTCATTGGTTATACTTTTCAAACTTTTAAGTTATCATCACACTGACCTGACTTGCCATATTGATCTTTATAGCTAGTCTCAACATTTTGTTTGTTGTTCTGTTGTCAACTGAGAATACATATAAATTTCATGTGTATGTTCTTGTTAAAGTTGGACAAACCATGATAACTGAATGTCAACATGAAAGAACAATGTAGTCGGAGCTCGACATTTTATAAGATTATGGTGTAAAACTTTAAAATAATTTTTGAACATTATGAATATCCTATACAACTGCCAGAAACACATTTACAATGTCTCAATGGAAATTACATCCAATATATTCCTATTCTAGTAGCTTTGATCACTACGGACTCAAATATATTGGCATGTCTTATGTACCTCTTTCAGAGAGTTCATTTTAGCATTAAAGTGTGGAGACTTGAGCATCCGTAGAGCTATCTCCAGACGTAGGTCATCCAAGGAGTCGGTGTGCTGTGGCCACATCTGGATACATAACAACTTCATAGAAGCTAGCAGGTCCGAGACATAGCCCACCTTCTGTTGACAGAAAAAACAACAACTGTCAATAAGCCTGTTAATTAGCCAATTTGATAATGGCACTTGGTCAATATCACAAATATATTTTTGCATTCTTGTGAACTTTTTAAATATATCAAATATTACTGATTGGCATTCTAACACCGCTCCCTCCACATTTCAGTGGGAATAACCAATGGAAGACAAAAACCAATTGAATCTTTTTTCATAATGGTTTACAGTACAGATAAAAAGCATCAAGCATCTCTATAGAAATTTTGGCAAAATATACTACTGAAAATAAATAAATGTCAGGAGGTCTGATATCTTCGAAATCAAATTTTTTCATGGCTCAAAAGAAATAACCGAACCTGAATTTAATAATTAATGAATTAATTTTCATAAATTACAGTGTAAGAAAACATAATGGGTATACACCAGTCACAAGATCTGCACATTAAGTAAATCTTGCTATCAAAGTCTGTTTACAAAGTTTAATAAAATTATAGCTGAATCACATTGTAATATTCCTTCATTTCCATCAATGTTTTTACTACTAACCTTTTCTTTGAAGTCTTTCTCTTCGAGATTCTGGACATATTTGATGGATCTTTCCATCCCAGGAGCTAGAATCTCTGAGACTGATCCAGGATTTAGGAACTCTGCACATGTTCCAAACGGTCGCAGTAGGGCTGCCATCGACTGCAAAAAAAAAAAAAAACCAGTTCAAACAGGATTACTCTTCAGGCGATACCTTCATCATTGAGACAAATAAAATCCATTTAAACAAATTTTAAACCACAACCAAAGTTCTTCAAACATGAATATTTGTATAGCAGAAAATATGAGCTTTATAGGAATTAAAAAGAAAAGTCACTGAAAAGACTGATAACTGATATTATGTTTTCAATCTTAATTAAAATTATAGCATACATACTGGAGCATCCATTTCTTCATTTTCCAGCAGATTCTTCACATGTTCTAAACCTTTTTTCATTGCAAACTGCAAAATGGAAACAATCAAAATGATGGATTTAAACTCATTTTCAAACAACTCTTTGATTATATATCACAAAAGATTTGTCTTACTGCCTTAGCATAATGCAACAAAACATTTGATTTTTTTCTAACAATGGAGGGAACACATTAAAGATACTTTCAACAGGAAATTTCAGGTAACAATGTATCTAACCTAACACTTTACAGATTATTTATATCATTATCCTAAACATTTTTATGTTACTTCACACTTATAAATCACATGTCAAATATAATTACCCTGTTGATGAGATGGGACAGCCAACCATACGTATCCTGAAAATGAAAATGAAAAACTACAGCCACTATACATCTCAACTTAGACACACATTGCCTGCAACAAAACTTTTCAACTCACTCTGTAAAATGTACATTCTAAAAGAAAGAATTCCCTCATTAGCAACAAACAGACTATGATTTAAAGCTGGCTATTTACGAAGATATTTATACCAACATATGACTTTTAACCCGAAAATAAGAAGAATAAACTCAAGAAGTTTGGGAATTAAACCTGAGCAGATTTGTAGCCAGTATTGGTGGTGAAGAGTTGTCCCCCTTCCAGTTTGTCATCCCAGTATGTCCTATCCTTTCGAGATCGGTTCTTGTAGTGATACTCTGTGTCCTTGTTAAAAGCCTGAAAGAAATTTGATTGACAATTAACTACAGTATAGGATAAATCATGTTTGAATTTTACTTCTTGTCAACAAATCTTCATGCCATTTCTTCGATTACAAGTACATTGTAAGTAGCCTTGTGTAGAAAGGACAATAACATAGAGCTCCACTGTAATACATTAATGAGACATCATACTGATACAAGTAGGTTTGATATCCCTTGTCTGAAATAACTCCTTACAGGAACAACAAGAAGAAACAACCATACCATGTCTCCTGTGTTCCGACTGACAGAATATGAACTTTGCGCAAAATAGTAAAATAAGGCAATATTCTATCATGCTTTTTCCTTGTATTTTTCTTAATACTAAAGCATACAAACAGATCTATATCTGAATTACAACAGATATACATATACATATATATTTATCATTTAATTGTCTTTCGAACCCAATATTTCACACACCATTTTTTTTGCTGATATGAGGTTCAATATATTGTAAACACAGATTGATATCAACTGGAGTGATATATTTGATGAGAATTATCTCTCTTATTCTCATGGACAGAGGGTTTGATGAGAAATATCATAGTCAGAGGGTCAAAGTCAATATAAAGAAACCATTATACATGAAATGAACTTAGTCAGATATGCACGTGAAAATGACAGTTGTTGTTTGAATGCCAGCCCAGACACGGTCGCTTATTTCCCTCACTACAAGCCAAGCCAATAGAATGTGAGGATAATTCCTACTAAAATGAACCATACAAGAATAAACTGTAGTGAAAATAAATAAAGGTTCAAGGGACATTAGAAAATAGAAATACAATTGAAGCTTGTTGTCTCGAAATTGCCTGAGTCGAAATTCTGTTTGAGTCGAAATAATTTCCAAGTCCCAATTTTTTCCTTTTATATTTTTGTAATTTTAGTTCAGATCACTCAAATTTCATTGAGTCAAAATTTTGTTTGAGTCTGTAGTAGTGACTTACATTGAACAAAGGTACTGTCAATGATTGGTAGCATTTCTACCTATATGTTTGTCAAATATCTCTTGTTGTGTAGATTCAATATTGTATCTACAGAGCAACATGTAATGTCAGGACAGGTGCAGGGCTGTTTGTAATAATAGTATATCTTCAATTTCAAAGCTTGCTCATGTGTAAACATTTTGAAAGCTGAAGGTGAAAATTAAGGTTACCAATAGCACAGGTGTGGAAAAGCCAATAATTATTCAAAGACAATGTTCCGTCTTAAAACTGCAACTACCTTGTGATAAGCCCATCTATATCTACATTGCTATTCAGTGAAACTACCCATGATTCCATTACTTTGTAATAAGCCCATATGTTGACGATAAATCAGACATTTTGTGTTGAACCCCTGAAGTTAACACAGGATAAATAATTATCACACACATTTTACAATGAACCTGAAGTGACTACTTACTGTTGTTAGGACATCTAGAAGGTTTATAGGCACTGGTAAGTACTGTAGCCGTGTGGCCACTAGGTCAATAAATAGCTGCAGCATGTTAAAAATTCCTTCTTGAATTTCCGCATTCCATCGATGAACAGCAGAATATGTCATCAGCTATTATTTCAAAAAAAATAAACAAAGAAAAAAAAATAAACATTTTTTTTTTAATATGAACATAACCCATTAGTTAATTGACTTTGTAAATTCTTTCACTATTGTGAAAGAGTTCTTTAGTCTATCCAACTGTATAACAAAACACAACGCATGTTTATCAAATTGAAATTCATAACCTTTCACATAAAAGTAAGATTTCAAGATTTTAAAAGAAGGAATAAAATCTATTCTTAACATGTTTTTGTGGTCTATTAATAGATCAGCTATTTACCACAAAGAAATCATAAGGGCTATTCCAGTTAAATATCTACTAAAGAACCAGTGAGAGAATTAATTTACATATGTAATTTGATATGTAATCAAACACATGTAACACACAATGCATTTCCTTTAGCTCGCATCATGTATAAAATTTCCTGATTACTTTAGTGGAACATTCTTAAGATATGCAGTTCTTACAATACTGATATTTTTACAATGTTCTAACCACTCTTTAAATTATTTTACCTTTTGGAATGACTCTGGCATACATCTTTCTAAAAAACGTCTACAGTGTTCATCATTGTCAGCCATGTCTATTGAAAATAGTTATCAAAGGAATTAGATCACTTGATAAAAAAAATCATGAAAACAAAAGTATACATTAGTTCATAAATTTTGCCATTTATACTCATGTTGTGCTTATAAGTGTAAATTTACATTTCTTATTGACAGAACATATTCATGGTTTAAGCAGCAATTCTGAGCTTCTAAAGAAATTTTCTACCTCATACAGAGTTCAATAAGACTGATACAATGTATATCTATGATCAATATTACATTAATAGAAATATTGAATTTAACAAAAGTTAGGAGCTTCTTTTGATTTCTAGATCAGTGGAACTACCATGTGGAACTACAGTATTGGAAAAAGAAACTCACTAGCTTCAGCAAGTCTGGTAGCTGCCAAAAGACATCTGCCTAAAGATTCTTCTTTCTTATAGGGTATTGACCACTGTTCAGCAAACACTCGCCCTTCCAGTTCATACAGGTTAGTGACTGGAAACTCCAGAGGGTTGAGTTCCTCCACCATACCTTCTCCACCACCATTCTCAGATTGGACATCTGTTCTCTACAAGACAAGGTATCACATGAACTACTAGAATAGCCAGGAGACTAGTCTGCTTGTTAAATCAAACATAACGAATCCATATATCTAAGTCTGGCAGAGTTTTCATCATCAAACAGTGATTTTCACATTGTTTTACAGCTGAAAACAGACTAGCTTTTCCATGATTATTTTCCAAAACCAAAGAAAAATCAAGAATACATTTGACTTTTTATGGCACATAGTTCATAAGGTGTATCAAACATCAGTTTAGTTAATAAGGCATATCAAATATTAGTTCAGTTTATAAGGCTTATCAAATATCAGTTTAGTTCATAAGGTGTATCAGATATCAGTTTAGTTTATAAGGCGTATCAAATATCAGTTTTCAAGAAGAACACAGTGACCTAAAACCTAAACTTAACTAACTTATTATACTAATGCTCCTGTTAGCATTTCTTGGTCTGTTCTTTAATAGTCTTAAAGATTCAGTAGCAAAAAGATAATGTATAAGTTTTAAAATATATATATATACTCAAAGGAGAAACTGGAGTTTAAGAATCTGCTACCTTCAATTATATTAACCCATCTACAGGTAAAACAATAAATACCATATAAAGAGAGAATGTTTATTTGCATTTAATATCTAGTGGAAACCCAAGTACACATTTTGTTAATGAAGTTCAAAAAAATTAATGCTTGACAAATAATTTTTTGCAAGAAAATTAATTCAAGTAGTTGTATTTATCAACAGAAAACTAGGCTAATTGAAATATTAAACTACATTATAGTATGTATCATTTTAATATGCAATCATCATTTATTTCATACCAAGGCCTGGGGAACAAATTTAGGTAAAAATTTATTGAAATATCTAAGAATGAATTCATGTCCTTATAAAATCAAACATTCAATCAAAGATAACCAAGGGCAACAAGTGCTATAATTTGTATATTAATTCTGAATGGAATACCTCTTGGAATTCTTACCAAAATATCAAAGACAGGGGCTCTAAAAAGCAAAGTCAAGAGAGCTTTGACAAAAAAAAAAAAAAAAATAACAATAACAGTTTGCACAATTAATTATGTTCAAATGCCCTACTGCCCTTTACATCACTGACTGGTATGTTTATATACAACAGGTAAACCAATGTAAATACAATATGAATTACATCAATATGAACATATAGATTGTCCAAAATACAAAAGTGAATCATATCTTTCAATACAAAGTTTGAACTGTATACAGTGGTGCCAAATAATGATTTAAACTGTATAATAAAATTGGTTTTGTCCTTAGCTTCTAGGACTTGTCAATGATATTAAGAGACAAAATTTTGAAACCTTATCAAGAGGCAAATGTGTCTATATAGTTTTTAGATATATATGAATACAGAAATAATTTTGTAGGCATAATGTTAGATTGATTTTTACAGGAGTATCTGATTTTTGTCAGATATTTTGGAAATTGGGCTTTGTACATGTGCTAACAGTGGCAGAATTTGCTGAAAATTTACAGCAACTTTGGAAATTAGCATTACATTACTAAAGCTTTGTCTGTTATATGCATTTGGCAAAATGTAAAAAAAAAAACTGAAAAAGCAACCACAATTTTCAATTATTATTTATCACTTTATGGGTAAATGTTTGTCCATTTATTCAGCAAAGGTTCAAATGACAGTAAAAAATTCTGATAGTGCCCCTCTCCCCTTCCATACAAACTGCCGATTAAGAAATTCAGGTTTAATTTACGGAAATACACACAACAGGAAAATTTCCTTAACTGGGTATAGGACCCACAACTTGGCCCTACAAATGCATGGGAAAAATCCCGGTATTGAAATGATATAATTATCTTATTAAAGGTTTTCTGATCCACGATGCATTCATTTTATACCAAATGCTAGCATATGATTTGATTTGTGTTGTTTATGTATGGCATCGTAATATATAGGTCAGTAGTATTCCAATATAAATATTTTGTTAAACGTTCTAAAAATTATAAGTATTTCAGATAACGTTAACATTTAGATATTTTCAATGGAATATACAGTCAACTGTTTGAACATGTGCATCACATATATACGAATACTTAGAATGTATATAGGTACAGACTGGACCATCAATTAAGTGGTCAGTTAAAACATAGTGTTGCTTTTCCGGATAACACACCTCCGGAATCACACATTCGTCGTAGCTTGGAGGTGGCGAGGGGCCGTAAACAGGTGCCTGTGAGCTTCTGGGATGTAGATCTTTCATTTCAATATCATCTAACGTATCGTATGATGATGTGGAATGGTCGTTGGTAAGATATGCAACAGCATCGTTGAGGTCATTTTTGGCGAAGCGAAGGGCTTTCCTGACCTCAATATCGCTAGGGAACCCCATGCTAAGCAGTGTAGTGACGTGCTCTTCGTCAATCTCCATAGCTGCATTTGAATCTTAATCCATTTAGGTGATTAAATATACCAATATATAATGCAAATATACATTTAAAATGTCTATACAACCGTTAACATGTTCACACACCCACTACTTTCACATGTTGTCCGCCATGATTTTTAAGTTTCTCCGTCTAGATATACAAGAGAACTCGAACAGGAGGTGATAACTCTGTCCAATGGCTTCAATACATATTGAGATATAAACTGAAAGTAGACTCTGAAGTAAGTAATTACTCACATACCTCATGTTTAATAATATACAGCACGTCATTAAGTTTCCGTCAATTAATTAATTTCCAAAATAAAAAAATACTGCCACCTATTAGTAATACAAATATGCATATAATGTTTAAACACTTTTGGCATTAGTTCAAAAATGTTGAGATAATGCACGAATAATTACACATGTAATTATATGTAATGTCAAAGACAAGTTAGACGAATTAACAGCACATCTGATATACTAATATACCTGAATTGTAACAGGGATATATGATATCAGTGTAGTGGTCGGAGAAAAAAAATCGAAAGAAACTATTTTGTAAGTCTTGTAGCTGAGTGTAAACCTTTATCATTTCACGGAATGTATACATGTCACAGTCGAATATGTTGGAAATTTCTACAATTTTACTTTAACCAGCGAGAAATGAAATGACCCGTTTCTGGGTTAATTTAAGATGTGCTCTGTCATGCATCTTTAAACTAAAAAAAATACATATATTTAATTATACTCTTTGATGATAAACATTCTGTCGGTTGTTGATACAGTTGTATAAACATCGTATAAATATAAAAACTAAAATCGAATAGAAAGTCAATATGCATAGCAAATTCAACTTTAAGAGAAAGAAAAAAGAAAAAAAAGATAGAAAATTACTTAATTAACACATTCCATGTTTATTTATTCATATAACTAAAACTATGTTATAGCATCAACAATATAAATCTGATTTAAAGCGTCCATAACTTATATATAAAGTGCGTTGTTCTTCCTACAGCTCGTACTAAATCAGTACGTTATACATGTAATGATTTAGCACGCGATCGACAGAGTTCCCGAATGAATTAGTAAAGCAGTACGAGTTGCTTCCCTTAGGCACACACACACACACACACACACACACACACACACACACACACACACACACTATTATAAATATATATCAGCTATGTCTCTTTGTCAAATAAGAAGGATGTTATTGGTATTTCAGAAATTATATTATAAATATATATAAATCTACTTTTAGTAAATTCAAGACATTTACATATTATATAAGGTTGTTTATATATACATATTTAGAAAAAATACAACAACGGCATCATATATGCTTCATTGACATCTGACGTCATAAGATGATAAACTCACCAGACACCAACGACATATAACACGAAGAGTAAGCATTGTGTGACAATTTATTCTAAGCCTTCAAAATGCATCTCATACATTATAAAGCATTGGATAATATTTTTTGTTTCATATTTTCTTCTGTCTGTTTTTATCTCATTGGTTAATGTTCGCCTCTAGATATAATAATAAAACCAGTTTTATTCATATCAACTTACACTGATCTGTTGTTGACTCGAATGGAAGTATGCAGGGGTTTTACAGTAAGGGGCACCGGAATACCTGATTAAACCCCAAGAACGAAACCGGGTGGCCGGGTGGCGCAGTGGTAACGCACTCGTCTTTCACCTAGTCGTCCGAGGTTCGACTCCTGACGTGAAAAGGTAAGGGTCACCTGCCCGACCACATGGGTTTTCCCTGGGTACTCCGGTTTCCTCCCACAATAAGACCCCTCGCGCGCTTACATCCGGGCCAACAAGAGTGATTAGTATAAGTTGAAATAACTTGTTTCGCAATTGTTGTAAAATGAATAAAGTTTATTGTTATAACGAAGCCAAGCAGGTCACCTTTTTCATATCTTTTCACGTTTGGTCAACGATGGTCACTTAAGTGAAAGGCAATTACGTTACTACAATCATCATTTTCGTTTCTTCTCTTGGTAACTTATGGACTCCAATATACACCATTACTGGCCATGCTTTGTTAAAATTCAACGCTGTAGAACACATTTATGCTAAAAACTTCCATGAAAGACCAGTGTTGTTGATGTTTTGCATATGCTCTGAAACTTGCTTTACTATCTTGCCTCAACAAGCTACCTAGCAAGCATTGGATTACTGATGAGAGATGATATAATATTACCCTGATCTCTTTCAGTTCTAACTACGTGTATTTGATTGATTCTGACTTTCTTCATTATACAAAAGAACCGAAAAAATGTAGCATACTTTATTGTACTGCTGTTTTGTACAAAAGACATAACATCAATTAGACTTTTTTGTCCAGTAAACAATATAATCAAATTTAACTGAATCATACCACTGTAGTCGCCCTTCTTGAATTCCCCATTGATTCTAAGTAAGCAACAGTAGCGCCTTTGTTTCTGTGAACTTTATTAAAGGCTAAATATCACGCACCAGGAAAACCATGACCTATCATGAAACATTATCAAGTTGTTATGAGCCGTTACATAACTGAATTAAGCTTTTTAAAAAGAACTATAGAAACGACACACAAGCAAAATTAATTTTCATTAAGATTTGATACAATAGAACGAAATGATTAATGAAACTGCATCATATAGCTGTTTCATCTTTCTTAAACTTGCCAGTGATGGTAAGGGCCAACCCAGGAGGCGATTGAGGGATACAAAAATAAACGGAAAGAAATGTCAAAATCTAGATTAATAATAAACAATTAAAAAAAGAAACAAAACAGTGTAATGATAAAAGGAGCCGTATGTGATGTACTATCACCACACTAAAATAACATTACTAACAGTTCACTAGGTTATATCCTGTTAAGGGCATGGAACGAAATTAATAAACAAGAGACTGAAGGCTTTATGGTGATGAATCTTTAACATCTAGGAAGCTGTTACATACCTCAACCATCATCTTCATATTTTTTATATGCATTAGAAGAAGACAAACAGCATCTATAAACATTGCCTCTGTATGGCGTTTCTGTCAACAGAACAATAACGGTTTCGGGTGCCATCTACTAAGGCCATAACAGTGACGTCAATGTGTACGTTATCTGTTCGATATATCTTTTGGATAATCGTTAAAATGGCGGGATTATCTTTCCGTCCGTTTCTGCCGATCGTGAATGATGAAAATCGTATAATTAGTGGACTTGTGAAAGCTTGAACGAATCCCCTGAAACTATAGCTAATGTATTATTAGCGTGATAATGAGTTCCGTTGCTGCAACCATAGTAATTTTGCTCGTGTATGAACTGATGGTATTGTTTACATGTAGTAGAATTTCCAGGAAATTGTAACTTTGTAGAGAGCATTTATGAGACAATACAGGATATATTTACTGCATATAATGTTTCTGGACAGCCATACTAGACAACCACTTTTTTTACTGTTAATCGTGAAACTGGCGTTTGCTTCTACATCAGGTTATTATATAGATAATCCAAACACCCATCTAAGACTAAATGAAACCATTTTAGATAAGAATGTCTTGTTTATATCACGCTATGTGGCCCATTTCACGTGTTATTAAGGAGGCTCATAATACTTAAGACTAGCCTAATTTATAGTGACGAAAAAAAAACCTTTCTAATGATCAAATATCGTTGATTATGAATATTCTGTGTACTACTTCTGAATTTTTACGAAGAATTATTTCACTTAATTATTTCAGTTTATCTGCAGTGGATCCGATCATGTGTAATCTGCTCTGTATGTGGAATTTAAAAATCATGAAAATCTTGTAAACTTGACTTCTTATGAAACGTTTTTTGTACGAATGTGTGTAAATGTTATAATTTTTATGTATTTGACAAGTATGGTACAACTTAATGTTCTATTGCAGATACTCGTAATATAACATAATAGGACATAATTCGTCGTCAGACTGACTCCGAAGTCCAATCTGTCATCAAGCTGACACTGGCTACTTCCCGAAGGCTAAACTGATGAACTACGTATTAACCCTACTTTTGCACAAAATGCACAAAAATATCATTCCGACATGACTTTAATGCTGATATATAGACATAACTCAACGAACAAAAGAAAAGTTACACGTAAAGCCATAGAATGTACAGTTGTTCTGAAAGTGTAGGCGTCTTGTGTTACATTTACAAAACCTGTTATGCAAGTCTTGGCCAGCGCAAGCAAGAAATGTCACATTCTCGAGTGATAATAAGGTTTTCATTCTCACTGCCTCTCGTTCTAAATACAAACCACTTGATACTCGTGTTGCAGTATCGCAATTCAATCTGATTAAAATTATAAACTAATCTGTTACGTATTTTTGTGAAAGAGTGTAGGTTTTAATGCCAAGGTTACAGACCTATCTCTTTTCTGTTGGATTCCTACATTCTAAAACAACCATATACATAACATTCATTGCTACTAAGCTCGATTGCTGTAAATTAGTTTATATTCGTGAGGGTTGTATTTTCGATGATTTCTTGGACACTCTCTATCCACGAACTATTAAAATAAGTGCAAGTAAAAGTATGGAGCTTTATAAATCCAGTAATCATTCTTGGTACTATCAAATAAGGATTACTGTGTAATTTTGATACTATATACTGGAGAAGTGGGATAATCGGAGTGTGGATTTGGAATATCCAAGCAGATTTTGATCAATTGTGACCATCTTCTCCTTAAAGAAAACATCTCCTTTATAAGAATATTTGATATTGCATTTGTTCATTGTCGTATCACATTACAAACCAAGTCAAAGCCAGCATTTTCTAGTTTTGAGGTATTTTAAAAGAAATGTGAACGACAATAAAAGTGTATGATAGTGTATTACACTGAAGTGTATTTAGTGAAAAGCACATGTAGTACCAATATGAAATGTGCTGAGGATGATATGGAAACATGATTGAAGTTCTCGTTCACGATAGCTTCACGGAGTGTGGTGTTAATATCTTCAAACAGATATTTG